ATGGAGGGTGCCCCAGGATCCTAGCATGGGGAGATGGGGGCACAGAGACCCTCTCATAAAAGAGAGACGGTTCCAGGAAGGGGGTGGGCAGCTGGCACAGAGGCAAAGGTTGGGCCAGAAGAAACTACAGTGTGCATGCAGTGAAGACGGCCAACCAGATAGTCTTGTGTTTGGTGATTTGTGCAGTTTAAGGTCTTGTAGTTCCACACTTGCAAGGGCTGGAAAAAGCTGGTGAGAAATACAGACACTTCAGTCCCTGCGCCAGGGGAATTTCCAGGCTGTCACCTGAAAAATCATCTATGGTTGTGCTGAGCAAAAGGTGCATCATACTCCTTACAGAAGCAGTCTCCAAATGGCAGGGGCACAAAACAGAGACTGCTGAGGGTCTTCAGGTTCATAAGGCAGTATTCCCCCCGATTCCCCGTGATGGTGATGCCTCAGTCCCTGCCCCACAATTACTGAGGACCTGATGGCAAATACACAGAACCAGGCAGCCCCCTTCTGTGGACATGCGGTTTCCTGCAGATTGATGCAGCAACCGGAGTTCAGAGGGGCAGCCCTGCTCATGTGCGATGCCTTTGCTTTGCCACGAGGCTGTCTGGGAACAGCCACATCTACTGCACACATCAGGCAGCACCAGAAACTCCAGCATCAGCCATAAGAGTCCAGCCGGCCCGCAAGCATCCTGAATGGTGACTTCTGGCTCCATGGGAGCAGGGAGAGCCCCGCGCCTTTAGATGTGGATGCATCTGCTGAATGGGCTGGTGAGAGTGGCCTGCAGAGTGGGGTTGTGGGTCTGCTGGCCACTGCAGACAGGAGGCGATGCAAGCACGTGCAAGGTGGGAAGGAAGTCCGGGCCTCTGGCCACCTCACAGCCACTTTTCTGACTCAAAGGATCCCGCCGGCCTCCAGTGGCCCAAGGTCCTCTCACAGCAGCATCAGGAGAAGACGAAGAGCACCCTCCCCTACGGTGCTACCCCCTGCCCTGCCCTAAGCAGGCAGATGATTTCTCTTTGCTGGTGACCAGCCTCCCTCCAGTCACCAGGGCTGCAGCACTGGTGCTCTGCACTTGCAACCCGCTGCACACGGGGCTAACACCTGCTGCTTGCCAGAGGACCCCGTTGCCACCTCCACACCCCCACAGGGCACGCTGCACGCACTCACTGCTCAGGCTGCAGGCAGGGTCTCAGCTCTGTTGGTGAGGACCTGTTGGTCGGGGGCGCAGCTGGGGCTGCTGGCCGATGCCGCCTCTCACACAGGAAGAAGGCAGTGCACACCGAGGCTTGTGCAAGGCTCCACTCTGCAGCCTACAGGTGTGCAAGGCTGTCACTGTTTTCTTCACCTGTCGCCTTCCCTTCCACATCTCCTGTCCTCCTGGGGACAGGCAGCTCAACATCTGGGTGCTCCTGTCTTGGGGTCCTTCGCACTATTTCACTCGCATACAGCAAGGCAGGATGGCAGAGTCATCGTTAACGTTACAGGTGTGCTCTGCCCTATACGGCTGGACTCGTGTGGAAAGCTAAACACCTTTCCCTGCCAGAAAGCAGCTTCTTGGCCCACCTGGACATAGGGGACCCAAGGCCAAGAGCTGCTGCCAGCCCCGACCTCTCTGCCTTCTGCGGCAAGGTCAGCTTGCACAGCGCGCAGTTGCTCTGCACATGATGTGTCACCGCCAAAGCACGCAGCGCGCTTTGTGATCAAAACGACTCCCACCTGGACCACAGAGCCGGGTGTGTTCCCACACTTCACAGTCTGCCCTCCTGGCTGGCTCCGACAAGCCTCTCCAAGCACACGAGCCCTGGTGCCCAGGGGAACATGAAGCACAGAAAGAGCCTCAATATCTGCCCTCTGCTTTCAGAGCACTCTGAAGGCTGGTCATTGAAACTAGAAACAGCTCCAGCTACGAAGCTCCAGGACTCCTGTTCTGCACAGTGGCACCAGCAGCTCTTCAAAAAGGCAGGCATAGATCCCTCGCTCAAAGCATGAGCTGGGCACGACCCATGTCAAACACCACCATGGCCAGGAGCCCCAAGCACCAGTCCCTGACACGCAGCGCCCATGAGCTGGATCGTCTCAGAGCCCTGTTGGAAGGAGCAGCCTCTTCTCCCCAGTGTCCCCAGTCAGAACAAGTGAACGGCAGCTGGGATCACCCTTCCTCCTTCCTTTCCAATGGGTCACGGAGCCCAGTGCGCCAGTCGAAGGGGCTGTGGAGAACTCACGAGTGAGAGGGGAGGCACAGAAAGGAAGCATGTGTGTGGCAGGGAGACGGAGAGAGAAAGGGGAGCTTCGCCTCTTGTGGGTTAATGAGCATTTGGCAGTGCAACGTCTGCTGCTGCAACCAGGGAACACTTGGAGGAGACTGCTCAGAGCCCTCCTGGCAGGGCAGCCAGCCAAGCCGCCTTCCCCGCGTCTCGCAGGCTCACTTTTTATAAATTATGGGAAACACTTTTAGACAGACACTGGCACTCATAAATTATACAGCCCATTTGCATATCCCAGTCATGAGACATTATGCAAATGTGACCTGATTTGCATAATGGATTCCTCTTGTCGCTTCACTTGCTTCATGCTTTTAAAAAACAAAATGAAATAAAATGAAAGCACGAAAGGTGAAAGCAGCAAGTTCCCAGCACTGCCACGTCCCCTAACTGCATTGTCCCCCACCCTTCGCGCAGCAGAGACCAGGGCGCGGGAGAGCACAAGGGAAAACAAAGCGCTCCCGTGGTAAATTTGGATCGTAATTACAATGAACCAACTTTCCCCTTGTTGAGATTCCTCCCCACAAGCAATGCATCTGAGCCAATTAGGGAGAAAAAACAGCACAGGGACGCAGCACCAACGCAGGGAAGACGAAAGGGTTCCCACTCCCCACCCCGCCGCTCCCAGTGCCTTGGGATGGGGAGCCCTCTCCTCCGAGCCACCCAGCGAAAGGCGGCAGGCAGCGAGAGGGCATTTGTTACCACCAGCCTGGGGGGCAGGGGGAGACTTGCTCCCGCGGAAACTTCCGCAGAGCTTGCATTTCTAAAGGGAGGGTGGGCAAGGGGAGGTGCGAGGTGGGTTGTTGTGATTATTTATAACAAACTCGAATGGCAACACATTGTGGAGGACGAGGCAGTGGCACGTCGGCTCCCATCAGCCGTACTCCAATAAGCAGGCACGGCTCTCTCAGCCGTTGCTAGTTTTGCTGCGGGCTTTTCCCTGCCCCCCTGCACCAGCGCGAAAGGCAGAATTGTGCCAAGCGGCTGGCGTCTGTACCCTGTGGGAAAAGTTAACTGTAATTCTTCAGCTTTTAAAATCAATTAACCCGTGTGTTAATTAACGTCAAGTCGAC